ACCGCACTCTTCCAAGAGCACATCATATAAAGAAAGGAATAGTACACAAATCGAAACTAGCAGACATAAAAGTTGCAACGGATAAAGGTACCTACAAATTTAGCTTATTCTCACCGATGAAACCTCAATTGGGAGCAAAACTAAGGCTCTATATACAGCTACTTGTATACTTGATAAAAAAAATAATAAGAAACTATTAGAAACCGTTGTAAAATAGAATAAAAATATAAACAAGTCATCCCATAATACCAATATAATTTATTATAAGGTTGGTTACACACCTAAAGGAACTAAGGAAGCATTGGAAATAGAGAAGTGTACAAGAGCCACAGACTTAACAGCAAAGGACTCTGCAGTAAGGATTTCTAAGATTTACAGCTTTGCAAACTCAACATATTGACACTGTCACAGAGGATGCTGTTAGAAACTCTAATGTAACCATTCATTCTTGGTATTACAGTATTACTATCTTGTATGCAGACGTAAGACTGCCTCCTTTACATAAGTTAATAATTACAGCACTAGCTCAGCTCATAAGCAGATTTATTGATAGCTAATCAAATCATTATCTTGCCTGCCAACCCGGTTGAGGGCTCGAGGCCCAAGGGCAACTGCTACCATAGAACTTGCCTTACCCTAGCAAATTGTAAAATCATGTAGAAGTTTGTTACTGTCAAATAACTTATGGTCTTATCAACATACTAAGAGCAACAAATAAAGAAAAGAATATTTGCGACCAGCGCGCGGAAAGCAGAAGGATATGCTATATGGTGGGCAGTCAAAGAGAATAGCACCACGTACAGAAACATCATAGTTAAAACTGATTGTGAGGAGGTGATCAAAGTCTTACACGCTCCAGATTCAGCCTCGATGGATTCACAGAATATTGCTACGGATATTCTTCATATGATCAAGGATTTAGAGCTTTTTGAGTTAAAAAGAATAGACAGAATTTTTGGGGGTTTTTAATTTTCTGTATTGTGTATACAATCAACTGATTTACAGGTAAATTAATACACTAACACTTGCCATATTAGCTCCTAAAATCACTCCTGGAAATATGGACTGATTTGATACAATAATCTAAACATAGCAAGTGAATAAACATAATTACAGACAAGATTTTCTACACAATATTCTAACACTCCCCCTCAAGTTGGGTCGTAGGATCTCCGACACCCAGCTTGGACAATGCTTCTTCAAAAGCTTGAGACGAGACTGCTTTAGTCAAGATATCTAGGGGTGTACACCGGTCCAAAACTAGATCTACATACTAATCTATATTAAACTAAAACTAAAGTACAAACAAACTCTGGTGACGGCAGATGGTGGATGACGGTGGACGATGGTGCCTTGACGATGGACGACGGGGCCTCGATGTTGGACGACGGTGCTCCAATCCCACGATGCTGGAGCCTGGAAGAGAGAGAAGAGGAGAGGAAGAGATAGGACTAGAGGAGTTGAGGACTAAGGAAGTGAGGAGAGGCGAGGAGCCGTTGAGAATCAGAAAGAAAGGGTGAGATTGAGAATCAGAGAGGACGAGGGGAGATTGAGAATTAGAGAGGAAGAGGGGATACTGAGAATCAGAAAGGAGAAGAGAAAAGGTGAGAGGAGAAGAGGCGCTGAATAGATGAAGTATTAGGTTTTTTAGGCTTTTATATATATTTTATATATATATATATATATAAAAAAATCCGGGTTTCAGGTCCGGACCTGAAAACCCCATTTTTGGACCTGATCCGAACCGGAACCGGAAACCTTGAATTTCAAGGACCGAGACTGGACCTGAATCTACAGGTCCGGATTAGGTCTGGTCCCAATAGGTCCGGTTCAGGTCGGTTTTCAGGTCCGGTCCTTTTATGTACACCCCTAAAGATATCTGCTAGTTGATCTTCTGATCTAACAAACAGAAGACTTATCACCTTTGCCTCTAAGTGATCCTTGATAAAGTGTATGTCGATCTCCACATGTTTAGTGCGATCATGCTGAACAGGATTTTCTGAGATACGAATTGCTTCCTTATTATCGCAATACAATTTGCAACTTTTCTTAGGTGACATTCCAAGTTCAGAAAAAAGTTTTCGGTGCCACAGAACTTCAATAATTCCTTTTGCTATTCCTCTGAATTCAGCCTCTACACTAGACATCGAAACTTTCTTTTGCCTTTTACTTTTCCAGGAGACCAGATTTCCACCAACTAGAGTGAAATACCCGGAAGTGGATTTTCTGCTGTCACGATCTCCTCCCCAGTCAGCGTTAGTAAAAGCATGGAGATCCAAATGACCATGACTTTCATATAAAACCCCTCTTCCAGGTGTTTCTTCAGATATCTCAAAATTCGGTATACTGCTTCAAGATGCTGCTTTTGAGGTTTATGCATAAACCTGCTAACCACTCCTACTACATAAGCTAGATCAGGCTGAGTATGAGACAAATATATCAGTTTTCCAACAAGTCTCTGGTACCGAGTCTGATTTACTAATTCAGATCCTTCAATAATTTGGAGCCCATGGTTCATGATCATAGGAGTGTCAGCTGGCTTACAATTTATCATACCTGTCTCTGTCAAGAAATCAAGGATATACTTCCTTTGAGAAATAAAGATACCTCCTTTTGATCTGAGTACCTCTATTCCAAGGAAATATTTTAGGTTCCCAAGATCCTTCATTTCAAACTCTTGAAAAAGTTTTCCTTTCAACTGTTCTATTTCTTCTATGTCATCTCCGGTGATAATCATGTCGTCGACATAGATGATGAGACAGGTAGTCAGTTCTCCTTTTCTTTTGAAGAACAAGGTGTGGTCGGAATTGCTCTGTTTGTACTTGAATTTCTTCATTACTGAAGTGAACCTTCCAAACCACGCTCTTGGTGACTGTTTCAGCCCATATAATGCCTTCTTTAATCTGCATCCTTCTCCAACACTAAAGCCTTGAGATAAACCTGGTGGGGCTTCCATGTAAACTTCCTCAGAGAGATCACCATGCAAGAAGGCATTTTTGACATCGAACTGGTGTAAGGGCCAATCTTTATTTGCAGCTATTGAGAAGAGTACTCTGATTGTGTTAAAATTTGTCACGGGTGAAAAAGTTTCGCCATAGTTTATCCCGTATGTCTGAGTGTACCCTTTAGCCACAAGTCTTGCTTTGTACCTTTCAATACTTCCATCAGCCTTGTACTTTATGGTGAACACCCATCTGCATCCCACTGGTCTTTTTCCGCTAGGTAGGACGCACTTGTCCCATGTGTTGTTTCTGACTAGTGCGTTAATCTCGTCCTCCATGGCTTTCTTCCAGTTCTCGCTTCTGAGAGCTTCTTCTGTAGTAGTGGGAATGGTCTCATAATAGATTGCTGCATTATAGGCCTTGGCCCCTTGAGACAAGTTTCCTTCACCTGGTTTTCCGACTGGGTATTTTGACCTCTGAGCCTCAAAGTCTGGGTTATACCGCTTTGGGGGAATAACTCTTGTGCTTCTAGGGGGCAACACATAGTTTTCAGGATAACTTACTTGTTCCGATTCAACATCTTCATTTCCACTTTCAGATCTTTCAGGAGTCTTAGACAGAATATTCTGTTCTATTGATTCATCTTCAGAAGAAAGGTTAGTAGACTCAGTATTATGAGATGAGTCAGGATTACAAACCTTATTACTCGGTGGATCCTCGGACAAGGTTGTGTGATCATTAGTAATGGTGCCGATTTGATCAAACTGTATTATGTTGTCAGTCGTCTCGGCAGTTGTGTCTACTTGCTCTTTTGGATCAGTACCAATCTCAGGATAGGTTAACCAACTTAGATCGTCTCCTGAACTCTCCCCCTGAGATCTAAGGTGGTGATAAAAGTATTTGGTTTCAACTAAGTCACAATCCATGGTTGTATACATTTGGTTTGTGGCTGGGTCAAAACAACGATACCCTTTTTTATAAACCCCATATCCTACAAAAACGCACTTAACAGCTCGGGGGGCTAACTTGTTTCGGCTACGTTTAGGAAGATGAACATAGACAACGCAGCCAAAGACTCGGGGAGCTAAAGAGTGAACGGAGGGAATACCAGTATGGATTTTAAGGGTGTCTAAAGGGGTAGCGAAGTTAAGGCTTTTTGTAGGGAGACGATTGGTAAGGTAATTAGCAGTGGCTATAGCTTTAAGCTAAAAATGAGAGGGTACTCGGGATTCAATTATCATAGCTCTAGTCATTTCTAAAAGTGTCCGATTTTTCCTTTCAGCCACACCATTTTGTTGTGGTGTGTCGGGACAGGTGGTTTGATGAATAAGGCCATTTGCGTTTATGAAAGTTTCTAGGTCAAGGTTTATGTATTCCCCGCCATTATCAGATCTCAAAACTCGGATTTGTGTTTGGAATTGTGTTTGGGCCATTTTGTAGAAAGAGACAAAAGTATCATAAACCTCAGATTTATTTTTTAAGAAATATCCAACTCATCCTAGTATAATCATCAATAAATGTAACATAATACTAAAAATCATGATTATCAAACTCTTTGTGATTTCATTTCTTTCTCTGTATGTTTATCATTCTAAAATACCTGATATAGTAATGCTCTTTTGTACACAACAGGTTCCCAGATAAGAATGTTGGTCAGTTTCCAATGGCATGTGTAGTGAGGAAAGCTGGTAGTAACTTATCAGAGCATGAAAGCATGGATTTTGTAGCAAAACAGGTGAGCTGAAAGGCCAGAGAGCATGAAACAGTTGTTAGGTGTTTTTAAACTTACCCACGCTTATGAACTTATCTAAGTTATTAACCCTTATTTGAACTAATTAAAACTTATTATTCCTTCTTTCACACTTATTAACTCTTACAGAAAATCAATATTTGAACTTGGTTAGCGCTTATATCTAATTTTTACTTATCTTGGATGGGAAACATAGAGTAGAGTACAAGTTGGGATGTATAAGGAGACACGCAAAGGTCAAGCTGTGTTTCCATTTTGTTAATTCAAAGTTGTATGAAATAATTTAACTTTTCGTGGTGCAGGTCGCTCCTTACAAAACTTACACATAACAGTAGATTTACACTAATAAATTAGTGAAATTTCATTATTTACTCAAAAATTTAAAAAAATTAGTGATTAGCAATTGTTAGTTTGATTAATGATGTGTTATTCTTTAGCAATGTATGTAGGTACTAAATACTTACTAACTTTTGTTAATTCTTTTTAATTTTTTTTATAGATTCATATGTGAATTGAAGCACAAGTTTAGCTTGAAGACTACAAATTTAGCTCAATTGTGGTATGAATTATAAACTTAGTCTATGTTTCTTTTTCTTGATTCATGATGAAAGTTTTCTCATGCTATTACAACTTGTGTATTGTTTAATGACAAATTAATACAACAATATATAAATGCTTGCATCATCATATGCCTAGATACCCGTTCAAGGCTTTCTCATTAGGAGAAAGTCTTAAATAGTCCCCGGTTGGGACTGTTCTTGAATGTTTACTCTCACTTAGGTGGTGAATGTATGTCTTCTTTTTTCGATTTTAAGGAACATCTTGGCTTAGCATTTCCTCGATCACCATGTTCTCTGGGTACATATGTGGGTAAGTTATTACCTACATTGTGTACTTGGAGAACTGGGGGGAAATGCTGCCGGATTTTCCTTAAAATTGGAAAGTCGACATACATTCACTAGTGAGAGTAAGCGTTCAAGGATGGGTTAGGTTGGAGTGATAAAGACCCTTTGGAAGCATATATGCATTATTGTATCTATATGAATATTATATGCATGATGTGTGTTTGAATTTGATTTACATATATAATAGATGTAGCAATTATACATTATTCGTAATATGTTGCCATGTTTAGAGGCAATTTACTTAATGGAGAAGGATCGTGGCTGGATGTATGGTAGACGTGATACATTGGAATTCTTTGATGAGGTTCAAGAGTTTTGTGAGAGGGCTTCATCTTATCAGCGTATAATGGGTTTCGATTGCCTCTATTGTCCTTGTGTTGATTGTAATAATGTGAAGGTGGTTAATAGTGTTGATATCATTAGAGATCATGTAGTTTGTCGCGGGTTTAGGCTTAAATACCATGTGTGGATTTGGCACGGTGAAGAAGGAGAGTACAATGGGGATGTTATTGGGAATGATGTGCATGATGATAGAAGCAATGATATTCGTGTGGACGAGGAATACAAGAATGATGAATTTGAGGTTGATAATGGTGATGAGGATGGATTTGATGATGATCAGGTGGATGAGGTGGAGGATGAAGGGGTGAATGAAATGATGCGTGGTGTTGAAGGTGACGTGTTTGAGTCGTTATCGGAGGCTTCTAAAAAGCCTTTGTATCTTGGGTGCAAAAAATACTCCAAACTATCTGTTGTGCTAACACTAATTAACATTAAGTCGAAGCATGGGTGGACGGACAACAGTTTTACGTCTTTGTTGACCGTGTTAAGTGAGATGTTTCCTGACGGGAATGAAATTCCTAAGTCATACTATTATGCAAAGAAGCTCATGTGTCCATTTGGTTTGGAGTATAAGAAGATACAAGCATGTCCTAATGATTGTATTCTTTATCGAAATGAATATGAACAATTGGAGGAGTGTCCACGATGCAAGAAGTTGCGCTACAAGCGCATGAGTTGCAATGCTGGTACGAAGGGACCTCCTGCGAAGGTGTTGTGGTATCTTCCCATCATTCCAAGGTTTAAGCGTCTTTTCTCAACACCAAAAGACGCAAAAAATTTGAGGTGGCATGCAGAGGGAAGAAAGAAAAACAGAATGCTGAAGCATCCAGCCGACTCCCGCAATGGAAGAACATTGATATGAAATTTGGTGAATTTGGTGATGAAGTCAGAAATTTAAGGCTTGGGTTGTGCACGGACGGGATGAATCCATTTGGCACTCTTAGTACCCAACACAGCACATGGCCGGTACTTTTAGTGATCTACAATTTTCCTCCTTGGTTGTGCATGAAACGTAAGTATGTAATGCTTTCACTACTAATAACTAGGCCAAGGCAACCTGGAAACGATATAGATGTTTATCTTGCGCCACTTGTTGATGATTTGAGAAAGATGTGGGAAGAAGGGGTTTTTATGTATGATGCTCATAAGAATGAGATGTTCACATTGCGTGCAGCTCTCATGTGGACCGTTAATGATTTTCCTGCATATGGCAACTTGTCTGGGTACAAGAACAAAGGAAAAAAAAGCATGCCCCATTTGTATTGATGACACCCCAAGCATACACCTTGACAATTGTCACAAAGAGGTGTAGGTGCGGACTCGAAGGTTGCTAAGGCGCAATCACCCATACCGTAGGCAGAAAAAGGCTTTCGATGGGAAAGCAGAAAAGGGGACTGCCCAGGCCATTGACTGGTGAGGAGGTTTATGCTTGAGTTAAGGGTATACGAACAGTATTTGGGAAAACAGAAAAAGTTGCGGACGCAACTGCTCTCTTTAAAAAAGAATCAATCTTTTGGAAGTTTCCGTACTGGAAAGAACATGATATTAGGCACTGTCTTGATGTAATGCATATAGAGAAGAATGTGTGTGATGCTCTTGTGGGAACGCTGATGAATATTCAAGGCAAACAAAGGATGGAAAGGGTGCACGGTTAGATTTGAAAAAGATGGGGGTTCGTCCAGAATTGTGGGCTCAAGAAAAGGTTAGAAAGGGAAATGAACAGGAAAAGAGAGATGAAACGAGTTCGAAACAAGGAAAGGGGAAGAGCAAGGGAAAAGGAAAGTCCACAGATGCGTTGAAGAAGAATTATGATGGAAAAGCAAAGGATGCCAAGGCTTATTTACCTCCGGCTTGCTACACATTGTCAAGGGTAGAAAAACGGATGTTTTGTGCATGTCTGTACGGCATTAAGGTTCCATCAGGGTATGGATCTAACATGAAAAGATTTGTATCCTTAAATGGAGAATTGAAGCTGACAAGTATGAAATCCCATGATTGTCATGTTCTTATGCAAGTATTCCTACTAATTGCAATACGTGGTATTTTACCGAAGCACGTGAGGGAAGCTATTACAAGCCTCTGTTCTTTTTTTAACACAATATGCAGCAAAGTGCTTGATCCTCGTACACTTGATGCTTTGCAGGCGGATGTGGTTGTGACTTTGTGCAAATTTGAGATGTACTTCCCACCCTCATTTTTTGACATAATGGTGCATCTTATTCATCATTTGGTGCGTGAAATTAAGTTGTGCGGTCCAGTGTTTATGAGGTGGTGCTATCCTTTTGAAAGACACATGGGCACATTGCTAAATAAGGTAAGGAATCAAGCTCACCCGGAAGGAAGTATGATTCAAGGGATCGTGGGTGAGGAGATTGGTAATTTTGTGGCCGACTATATAGCTGTTGCTGAACCTATTGGTCTTCCTACTTCTCGACATGAAGGGAGACTTGATGGTCAGGGCACAATCGGGTCGAAACGAATGTCACCTGACCGAGATAAGTTCTTACAAGCACACCTATATGTGTTGCACCATGTTGCAGATGTTCACCCATACTTAGATGAGCACATGGCTAGTTTGCGTGCTGAATTTCCATCGAAAGGTGAAAGGGAATTGATGCAGTTGCATAATAAGAGGTTTGTGAGTTGGTTTCGTGATCGAGTGATGGGTAGAATCGATGAGAGTGTCAGTGATACAGTAAGGTGGCTTGCTTATGGTCCTAAGGATGATGTTCGCTCATTTGAGGGATATGACATAAATGGGTACAGTTTTTGGACTGAGCGTCAAGATTTGAAATCTTCCTCGACCCAAAACAGTGGTGTGACGCTTGTGGCATCGTCAAAGGAGTTTTCAAGTGCTAAGGATAAATCACCCGTTGATGTAGAGCTGTCATACTACGGTCGCATTCAAGAAATATGGGAGCTTGATTATTGTAGATTCACGGTTGCTCTTTTCCGGTGTAAATGGGTTGATAATATCAGGCGTAACGTCAAATATGATGACTTTACTCTTGTAGATCTTAGCCACCTAAATGACAGTGCGGAACCATTCATCCTTGCATCTCAAGCTAAGCAAGTGTTTTACGTAACTGACCCAGCAGATATGAAATGGTCTATTGTGTTTGCCGGCAAAAGAAGAATCCTAGGCATTGGAGATGTCGAGGATGAGGAAGAATATGATGCGTTTGATGACTCGGCACCTTTCACTGTTCCTAGACCTGTTGTACCAAATGACATAGACGACCAAACCAATTATGTGCGATTAGACCACAACGAAGGAATATTAGAATGAGGTACTATTTTTCAGCATTTTTGCAAATTTAGGCATTGAAAGTATTATCAAATGAAAAGTTAGGTGAAAATGAATTAATTATCTGTCATAAGTATTATTAAATGACAGGTTAGGTGAAAATGAATTAAAGTGTTAATTTACTTGCCCATTTTTCACATTTTCTTTTAATTAAATGAAGTAATTTTTAAAACATTTGAAATATGGAATAAAAACGACCTACACTTGTCTATTTTCTATGTTGATTTGTATTATAATTAAGCAATTTATATTTGATTTTATAAATTTACCTTACAAATGTATTTATATTACAGCTAATAACGTGTTATGTTTGTTATGGTAGGTGATTACATCTCATGGCGGACGATCAGGACCGTATTTATGTCGAGGATGTAGAGGATGATGATGATGATTTCTCTGAGGATGAGGATGGTGATGAGCTGTATGATGTGAACAAGGAGCCTGATTTGGGTGAGACAGAAGATCAGGCTCAGGATGAGTTCGAGCGTAGGTTGGATGAATTTGAAATTTCGGCTGAACTAGCGCCTCCTATTGAAAATGCAGTTGCTGAGACGGTTGGTGAGAACGCTACTTCCCACAATCTAAGCCAAGGAAAAAGTGGAGGAGGTGTGAGGGCACCGGCTAAGAAAAAGGTGAGGGGTCCGACGACAAGTTTCAAGAAACCCGTCGGTCCAATGGTCCTGGAGTACGACAAGGCGGGCCAACCTGTAGGAAAATTCCGTCGTCCATATGCTATTCACGTTGGTCTTTGTGCGCGTAAAATCCCAATTACACTTCGTATGCGGGAAGTACCTCCAGGCTTGATTGACACCTTTTGGAATGATACAAGGGTAAGTGTTTTATTTGCATATTTACACAATTATAAAAACCTTTACTTTAATGTTATGTAAAAGGGGAAACTAATAATCGACTTTGTTTGTGCTTGCAGAGTTTGTTTAATATTCCTAATGATCCCGCCAAGCGAAGGGTGTTTGAATCTTTGCTAGCCGAAAGATTCAGAGGCTTCAAGACCGTATTAGTCCGTGGTTGGATCACAAAGACTGTTGTGAACAAACCAAAGAAGAAGAAAGGCAATGATGCTGAAGTCATCAATGAAGAGCTACTCCCATGGCAAAAATGGCCAAACATATCGAAGGATGATTGGGAAGCTTTTGTTATTCAACAAAGTACAAAGGAAGCAATTGTAAGTTTAAGTAAATTTGATTACAATTGTATAATATATTAACTTTTTTGAAGTAATGATACTAACAATTCTAATTACGTAGGAACCGAGGGAGCAAAATTCCAAAAATGCAAAGATGAAGCAATACACCCAATGTATGGGGTGTAAGACATTTGGTGAATGTAGGGAAAGGTGGGTCAACAAAGGAGTATACCCCACTTCGCTACTAAAGTCCTCCGAAGGATCCTCTGCTTCCACGATCACTACGCTGGTGAGTCGTGCCGGTGATTTCTTCTGTTCACTGCATGCGCGTGACAAGAAGACCGGAAAATGGGCCATCAAGGCTCCGGAAACCAAAGAAATGGCAGATAAGCTCGTAAGCAACTATGAACTTGTGAACTTGTGAACTCTATGAATCTTTTTCATAAATATCATTTATGGATGCTATGAATCTTATTTACCCACAAACAAAAAACTATACTTATGATGCCTTTCTTTTTTCTTTTGCTACAGATTGAACACACTAAAGAACTGGTTGAAGGCAAGCTCGTCCCAAGTGTAGAAAAAGACCCTTTCACCTTGGCTTTAGGAAAGCCCTACCATCCAGGACGGGTAGTAGGTGCAGGAGGGTCATTGCTAGGATGGGAAAAAGTGATGGGTCTAGAGTATACCAAATCAGGAAGATCCCGAGCAAGTGTTAACTCACCTCATGACTTGGTTTCCACGATGGCATCGATTAAGGAACAAGTCCGCAATGAGCTCATAGGTGAATTTAACGCTTGGGCGAAGCAAATGAACTTACCGAGCTTGCCTTTCCCCTCGAATACACCTGTCGACTCATGTAGTCACCCAAAAGGAAAAGGGGAAGATGTTATACATGGAAACGATGATATACATGAGGTAGTTTCAAAACTATTAGTTTTGGCATATTGAGTTAGTGGTATCTAAGGTGGCATTAATTTATTTCTTGTTGCAAGGTGGTACGCCTACACATGCGGACTCCAGAAAGCTCGATAATCCAACACATCATCATTTTCCAGATTTATAGGTGATTTTGTTTTGTTCTATCTTAGTGAATATGGGCACATTATCAATTGTGTAGGAAAACGACCCCTTATGATATGTTTGGCTCTAATAACTGATCTTTCAAATTGGTGTAGGAAGACACCCGTTGTGCACTTCTACACCCGGACGAATCTGGAGCTTTGCTTGTGGTTGCATATGGTAGTGCACAACCGGCCGAACAAGGTACGGTCCATTTACGACCGCTTAGGCCACAACACTACTCGGTTGGGATCAATTCTGTTATTACCGGGTTCGAGGACATCCTAATACCGGTGCCCGTAGAGGAGGATGAGTTTACTACACTTTAGGCGACAAAAGGTACTTTTGTTCAGTGGCCATGTACTTGGGTAAGGTTGATGAACCAGGTAATTAAGATTTTGGGCTCGCTCTTTACTTTATGCCCGGTTGTCTTCAAAAGAGTTAGATGGATTTGTCTTTTCTAACTAATTGCGTGATTTATTGTATTAGATTTCGCAAAAAAGACAAACTTCAAAGAGGAGGGTGGAACAACCTATAAGCATTGATCAATCGGTGGCAAAAAAGAGGAGTGAACAAGGGTCGGACAGTGAAAAAGGGTCGAAGAAGAACTCTTCGAGAGGTTCAAAGCTACTCCACTTGTTGATGACACGGTCCTTCAAACGCTGTCTAAAGATTTAACTTTTCTACACAACCATGTTAGTATGTTGCCTAGTGACACTCCCATTCAAGTGCCACTACCTAAGGCAATGTTCCACTTTGATGAGGATGCAGTGGCATGGCTTAACAAAGAAGATGTGAAGGAATTTCTAAGTGGTTCAATGCTTAACATTTCCCTCGTTCAAACATTCATGAGGTAATTTAATGCCGCTTATATCATGTTATTCAGATTAGTGGTGATTGTCATTTAATTTTCAATTAATATTTTGTTATCATGCATGCAGAGCTCTACGGGAGCACTTACTTGAGATTGATTCTCCGTGTCAAGTAGGGTAGTTATGCCCCGAGCAAATCTCCACTACTAGAATCTTAGGCGACTACCCTAACGTGTCGTACTATGTTGAACGGGGTATCAAGGAATCATTGCGTGCGGGTGACGAGTTCATATTCGCCCCATGTTTTGAGGAGTACGTTTGACCATTATGTCAAATTTATTTGTTTCCCCTAATTATATGTTGTACATGGCTAATTACTGATTTGTTTGTGTATTGTGAATTTATGTAGTGCACATTGGACCATGCTGGTGATTTGTGTTCCCAGTAACACCATCTTCCTTTTTGATTCAGCTCGATTGCCTCATCTGAAAAAGCTCCTCGTGAAGTCTATACTGCGAAAGTAAATATAGCTATCTAGTGTTGATTATCCTTACTTAACTCATTTATTATATTAGTCATACTAATCAAGTTTTAACTTACTTTTCTATAGTGTTATGAAGAAGATCAATTGTCGAGCTCCTCAAGGTCCCACATGGAAATCACCAATGGTAATACTACATGATTTTGTGATTTTCATAATAAACAATGCGTAAGATGTTGCTAATTTTTTATGCATGTTTGATTCATTTACTGTGTTCCTATGCTAGTGCGCACAACAAGATAACGGAGTTGATTGCGGACTATACGTGATGAGATTCATGTTGGACATACTGAGTCATTCTACAGACGCACAACAGCTTGATGAGGTATGCGTCTTAAAACCCTTGATAAGAGAAAACCCTTGAATTGCGTCTTAAAACCCTTGAATTGTTCTTTTAATGTGATTTCAAACTCTAGCTTCCTCCAACTAGGTATTAATGACTTGTTAAGAGGAAGAGTGGCTAATTTGATTAAAAATATAGAAAATAGGCATACAAGTAGTGATATAGGCCTTATTCGGACCAATTAGGTTCAAATTGCGTCCTAAAATAATTCAAACGCTCTTTTAATGTGATTTCAAGCCTTAGCTGCATCTAACTAGGTAATAATGACATGTTAAAAGAAATAATGAGTTGATTTGATAAGAAGTGTAGAAAATAGGCATACAAGTAGTGATATAGGCCTTATTCGGGCCATTTAGGTTGAAATTGCGTCCTAAAATCATTCAATTGCTCTTTTAATATGATTTCAAGCCTTAGCTGCCTCTCACTAGATAATAATGACATGTTAAAAGAAAGAATGAGTTGATTTGATAAGAAGTGTAGAAAATAGGCATACAAGTAGTGATATAGGCCTTATTCAGGCCATTTAGGTTGAAACTGCGTCCAAAAATCATTCAAATGCTCTTTTAATGTGATTTCAAGCCATATCTGCCTCTCACTAGGTAATAATGACATGTTAAAAGAAATAAAGATTTGATTTTTTAAGAAGTGTAGAAAATAGGCATACAAGTAGTGATATAGGCCTTATTCGGGCAATTTAGGTTGAAATTGCGTCCTAAAATCGTTCAATTCCTCGTTTAATATGATTTCAAGCCTTAGTTGCCTCTAAATAGGTATTATTGACATGTTAAGAGGAAGAATGAGCTAATTTGATAAGAAGTGTAGAAAATAGGAATACAAGTAGTGATATAAGCCTTATTCAGACAATTTAGGTTGAAATTGCGTCCTAAAATTATTCAATTGCTCTTTTAATGTGATTTCTAGCCTTAGCTGCCTCTCAGTAGGTAATAATGACATGTTAAAAGAAATAATGAGTTGATTTGATAAGAAGTGTAGAATATAGGCATACAAGTAGTGATATAGGCCTTATATAGGTTGAAATTGCGTTCTAAAATCATTCAATTGCTCTTTTAATGTGTTTTCAAGCCTTAGCTTCCTCTAACTAGGTATTAATTACATTTTAAGAGGAATAATGAGCAAATTTGATTAAAAATGTAGATAATAGGCATACAAGTAGTGAAATAGGCCTTATTCGGGCCATTTAGGTTGAAATTGCGTCCTAAATCATTCAAATGCTCTTTTAATGTGATTTCAAGCCTTAGCTGCCTCTTACTAGGTATTAATTACATGTTAAGAGGAAGAATGAGCTAATTTGATTAAAAATGTACAAAATAGGCATATAAGTAGTGTTATAGGCCTTATTCGGGCCATTTAGGTTGAAATTGCGTCCTAAAATTATTCATTTGCTCTTTTAATGTGATTTCAAGTTTTAGCTGCCTCTAATTAGGTAATAATGACATGTTAAAAGGAAGAATGATCTAATTTGATAAACAATGTAGAAAATAGGCATACAAGTAGTGATATTGGCCTTATTCGGGCCATTTAGGTTGAAATTGCGTCCTAAAATCATTCAAATGCTCTTTTAATGTGATTTCAAGCCATATCTGCCTCTCACTAGGTAATAATGACATGTTAAAAGAAATAAAGAGTTGATTTTTTAAGAAGTGTAGAAAATAGGCATACAAATAGTGATATAGGCCTTATTTGGGCCATTTAGGTTAAAATTGCGTCCTAAAATCGTTCAATTCCTCGTTTAATATGATTTCAAGCCTTAGCTGCCTCTAAATAGGTATTATTGACATGTTAAGAGGAAGAATGAGCTAATTTGATAAGAAGTGTAGAAAATAGGAATACAAGTACTGATATAGGCCTTATTCAGACAATTTAGGTTGAAATTGCGTCCTAAAATTAAAAATTGCTCTTTTAATGTGATTTCTAGCCTTAGCTGCCTCTCACTAGGTAATAATGACATGTTAAAAGAAAGAATGAGTTGATTTGATAAGAAGTGTAGATAATAGGCATACAAGTAGTGATATAGCCTTTTTTAGGTTGAAATTGCGTTCTAAAATCATTCAATTGCTCTTTTAATGTGTTTTCAAGCCTTAGCTTCCTCTAACTAGGTATTAATTACATGTTAAGAAGAATAATGAGCTAATTTGATTAAAAATGTAGATAATAGGCATACAAGTAGTGATATAGGCCTTATTCGGGCCATTTAGGTTGAAATTGCGTCCTAAAATCATTCAAATGCTCTTTTAATGTGATTTCAAGCCTTAGCTGCCTCTTACTAGGTATTAATTACATGTTAAGAGGAAGAATGAGCTAA